TACATTTGAATCTAAATTCAACTAACTCTTGAGGAGTGACCTAGATGCAAAACAGAGGTCCTTTGTGAGTGTGCAGTGTGTACCACAGGAACCTGCTGAGGGGAGGACGGCTCATAATAATGGCCGGAAAGGTGTGAATGGGATGGCATCAAACACCTGGAAACCATGTGTTTGATATATTTGATACCATTCCACTGATTCCGCTCCAGTCATTACCACAAGCCCGTTCTCCCCAATTAAGGTGCCACCAACCTCCTGTGGTTTGCACCTTATGCACCCTTATTGCTCTCCAATTGAGAGAATTGTGTGGTCTCCAAACAACCACAGGCCTCAGCCCAGGTCCAGCGCAGACACAGTCACCATGTTAGTTGGAGCAAATCAACGTCAGCCAGCCTATCTTCTATAGTGTTTGGTAAAGGAATCTTTAAGCAACCCTGTCATGTTAGGAGACATCAGCTGTCAAAGGGAGGACAAATCTAAAGATGTCAATTGAAACCCCCATCAGAAAAAGGAAGAGAAAATGTCTGTCAATTGTCTTGACGTTCTGCTCCGCTACGATTAACAGCAATTAGTATTAATGCATGCAGACCTTTCTGACTGCTGAGAGGATGGTGCTGTGTTTAACGCTAAACTTACTTCGGTAACTAAGCAATACATCACAGACATCCCATAATACAAGTCTCACTGATTATGTAATCGGCGTGGCGTTACAGGCATGTCAATACTTGAACTGGTGATGTCACTGAATTCATCAAGGGCGATAAAACACGACATGTTTCCAGATTAAGCAAAACAGTATTTGTAGTCTGCCCTCTTCCCATTATTAGACAGGGCTAGGACTGCAGATTTTCTCGACAATATTGCCACTTTCTGGTGAAATGCTGGTATTACACTACAGTTCCTATAAAGAGACAAAAAGGCATACAGTGGGATAAGTGTAATGCTGAAAGTGCAGCCCCTTCAAACTCAACTCTGGACCTCGAAGCCAGTTCCACTGCATTTTCTTTTATTGTTCCCCTCTAATCAAGGACTAATTTAGACCTGGGACACCAGGTGTGTGCAATTAATTATCAGGTAGAGCAGAAAACCAGCAGGCTCCGGACCTGGTGGGGTAAGAGTTGAATACCCCTGGCACTGTAGCATATCTCCTGCATAGGCTTGTTTCTTAGAATTATTTATATTTATGCATTTCTAGATTCACCCTTTAAGACAATGTGATTATATTACAGGCAAAAAACACCTTCTGCCTCTTGGGGAGTGTAAAGGTCAAATGAAGCCGTTTGTATCTCAATATTAAATAATTTCCGGGTAACAATTAAGTACTTTACTGTGATTGTTTTCAATCAAAATGTTCAAAAATAAACAAAAATAGTTTCTTAGCAAAGAGCAATTTCTCAAGCAAGAATTTTGATAGGACTGTCAGGGAGTGGTCTGAGTGGGGAGGGGAAAACTGAAAACGAGCTGTTATTGGCAGAGGATTGGAACTTTCTTTCTTATTGTTGTATTGACCAATTTACCCCCTGGTGATGTCACAGGCCAAAACTCCATCCCATCAAAACAGGCTGAAATTTCAGGCGTTCTTTTCAAACAGCTCTCACACTAAAAGGGCATTTTCATAATTTTTAGTTTCACAGTATTATTCCAACCTCATAGTGTGGAAATATATATAAAACACAGTAAAATTAGGTTTTTTACTGCACTGGGCCTTTAAGGAATCATGAACATCAATCTCAAAAGTTCGGGGATTCAGTTTGGGCCTAACCCTATCACAAACTAGGCCTACACCCTCCTACTGCGCATTGTGCCTGCATACATACATGTTTCCTGCACTGTATTCACTACTTTCTTCTAAAGACATGAAAACAGGATCCTCCTGAATTATTTTGTTTCATATTAAAACAGTTTACAACTCCCACCTTTTTCTTACCACTACATCACTGGTGAAGAGGAGGAGGAGCATGAAGCGGGGAAGCCCGCTGCAGATGGCACACACATCTCCACGTTCCTTAAACAGACACAAAGAGCAGCTGAGGGACCCGGTCGTGTCTGTAGAATTTGCTGGGGACCAGTAGGTACTTGGCACAAGTAGCAGGAACAATTAGCGTCACATAAGCATAGGCCCAGAGCAGCGGGGGAGTCAGAGAGAGGATGTGGGAAACAACAAAGCATCTAATTTTCACTGGGAAGACCTGAGATGAGCTGAGCTGAGCAGTGCTGCAAGCTCACTCCAAGGCATCCCTTCCCTTTCCTTTACCCGTCACCACTCGGAGATTTCGGGCAAGTCCCCCCACCCCCCCCACCCCCCCCAAAGACAGCTCAAGTCATGGCTCATTTAATTGATGTGTACTTGTGGGCAAGGAGGTTTTGTTTGCATCCGTGCATCCCTAATTAGGGAATTGACAGAGGAAGCTCGCTGTCCTTGGAGAGAGCTCCCTTCCCACTCACATCCTCCAAAATCTGTTTTAAACAAGCCTGTTTCTCTCCCCCCATCACAAACCTATGAGAAGCTGAAATGAAAAGTTAAACTAGTGTTGTTTCTTCATGACACACTTTCAGCAGCAGGCCTAGTTGTGAGCGAGTTAAGGGAAACACACGGACAGGCAGCAGCCAAACTGTGTGACTGACTTGACAACCAAAACTATTCTATTGGGCTGGGATCTCTTAACCCGTCTAAATAGAAAACAAGTTGTTTCAAAAGATTATGGAAAGTACAGTATGCTGTAATATTAGATGTAATTTGATGGTGCTAATCTTTCCCATTCACTTGGGATTGAGGCCTGCAGATATCTCCTAAACACATAAAGACATCTACAGAAAATATGTGTTGTGTAGTATGGATTCAGCTCAACTAAGGCCTATTTTAGGTATTAAATAATCGGATAAACTTTTATCTTAGGGTGAACATACACTTTAACTAACTCTTTAACATCAGTTTGATTGAATGGTATTGCTCATACTCAACCCCAATGTTATGCCACTGGGGGGCAATGAATGGCAGGTCTAGTATTTGTATTTATTATTTGACCCTCTGTACTGTATACAGTGAGCTTTAAACACAGGTTCCCTATGGCTGACACCTTGAGAACTCCACTGTTACGTCATGGGGTGCTTGGGGTGGTGTCTGGAAAACACATTGTGAGGTAAGTGTTCTTGTAAAACATGTACATACAGAGTGGCCGATATATTGTCCCTCACCCTAACATGGTAGTTCAAAACAAACACACAAGGAGGCCACTTTGTATAAATAAGAGACCCACATTCACTCAATACACTCTCTTTGGTGTTCTCTCTATATAGCTGAATAGACACACTTCCAAAATGTCTCCAGATATCAAGATGTATTTCTGCATTGGGCTTGTTCTTGCACTAACAGGTACAGTTGAAGTCGGAAGTTTACATACACTTAGGTTGGAGTCATTAAAACTCGTTTTTCAACCACTCCACACATTTCTTGTTAACAAACTATAGTCTTGGCAAGTCGGTTAGGACATCTACTTTGTGCCTGACACAAGTAATTTTTCCAACAACTGTTTACAGACAGATTATTTCACTTATAATTCACTGTATCATAATTCCAGTGGGTCAGAAGTTTACATACACTAAGTTGACTGTGCCTTTAAACAGCTTGTAAAATTCCAGAAAATAATGTCATGGCTTTAGAAGCTTCTGATAAGCGAATTGACATCATTTGAGTCAATTGGTGGTGTACCTGTGGATGTATTTCAAGGCCAACCTTCAAACTCAGTGCCTCTTTGCTTGACATCATGGGAAAATCAAAAGAAATCAGCCAAGACCTCAGAAAAAAAATGGTAGACCTCCACAAGTCTGGTTCGTCCTTGGGAGCAAGGCTACCCGAAACGTTTGACCCAAGTTAAACAATTTAAAGGCAATGCTAACAAATACTAATTGAGTGTATGTAAACTTCTGACCCACTGGGAATGTGATGAAAGAAATAAAAGCTGAAAGAAATAATTCTGTTGGAATCATATTTTAAAGTAACTGTTCAATGAAAATCGAAATTTTAAAAGCTCACATTAACATACCAAAATAATGTTGTTGACTCATAAAACCACTCAGTAAAACCCCATCTCAAACCTGTTATTTAAACTGTTTTTAAAAAATGCTTGTGATTTTCTTGTGATGTGACTTCACATCTTTGGGTGAGACAGGCCCTTCTGTGATTTGTTTAAGACCACATTATGCAAATGACAAGCAGTTGTTTTTATTTTATTTTCTTCTCCGGTGGGGCGAAGGAGACTAGGGGAGACACAATCTACCCACTGGGCACAGACATCAATTTAACGTCTATTCCAAGTTGGTTGAAATAACGTTGATTCAACCAGTGTGTGCCCAGTGGATAGCTAGCTAGCTAGCCAAGCAATCCATAGCTGGTGTAAGCAAAAAGGACAAAGCCTATACAAAAACTATCTCACCAGTCAATTTTCTAATTTTTGTGGTTTGTAAGAGTTGGCTGTTGAGAAGCAGTTAGCTAGCATGCGAGAAGTCACAGCAAACTAAGCTAGCTGACTAGCCAACAAGAAAGCATGTCAAAGCAGAGCCTCCACACAACTTGGTTTACAAGCTGCAAAGTCTGTCGGGCAGAAGGTGCAGAAGGTGCAGCCGGGCAACCTGCCCCCATGTGGAACTCGGAGTTGGTAGCTAATTCAAATATCCAAGTGCATGCACGTCTCATTGGCTGAGCTGGCAAATCAGCTGTTTTTTACTGTTAAAGCCCACACTATTCTGTTGTTTCCTTACAGTCCAAGCAAGTTACAGACTCAGAGAAAAGCTGCTTTTTAACATCCTTAAGCACTGCGATTTCTTATCCTGATGTTGAATTTTAGACAAAGGTTAACTTTCTAAATCCTGAACCCACTGTACACAATGTTTGCCATGGTTCCAAACATGGCTTTAGGGGTGACAATCAAAATTACCTTTAGATGGGTTACAATGCAAAAACTATGTTGTTATAACAATTGTTTTGTTGGTCCGGGACAGAAATAGGGTCTGCCCTGCCAAGTAAGAGCCACAGTCAAGGGAAGAACGACCCTGTATTGCGGTATGTGGTGAACAACTCTGAGAGAACATCCTGTCCTGACCAAACTCAGACTGGTAAGACTGGACTGGGTTAGAGCCAGAGTTAGGGTTGTGGTTGAGGGTTAGGGTTGAACCGGGATGTGGACATGAAGCTAGGGTTAAAGATAGACTGGTAAGACTGGACTGGGGAGAACCAGGCTTTTTACCGTGGGGGATCAAAGGCAGGGATGGTTTACTATTGTATCATGAGAGTTACATAGGCTACTATAACCACTAGAGGTCAGCATAGTACCATACAATCACTGCAGAGAAGCTAAATAGTCAGCAGTCCAGTGATCATTATTTGGTTAGATTATGCCATAGAAAAATGACTTTTTGGTCATTTTTGGTCATGTCCTTCCTATATGTTGCAGAAAACCCTTGAGGACCCATGGAGCGTCATGCTGGATGCTAGTGAACAACCACAACTGATGGTAAAGCTGGCCAAACTGATCAATGCCAGCAAAACCATTGAAATTGGTATGTAATGATAAAACAAGCTTGTTCCTGAAAACATGTAATATTACTATAGTATATTATTTGGAAGACACATTTCATTGTGCCAATATTTTCAACGTTCTAACACTAATTTTGAATTTTGAGTGAACTGTCCCTCATTATAATATCAGTGTAGACTCGCTTGCTAGGACATCAGCGGCTGTGAGAAGAGACTCATGTTAATGTGGTGACTATTGGCAGATGGAAATCATAAGAGCGTGGTTGACAGAGACACATACTAGGTGGAATGGGCTGAGAGTAGCTGAGGGCTTGGTTTAAAAGTCCACGATCTACAGTATAATAGTTACAACTACAAACACTAGGCCTATATATAATGTATACTGGATGTATTTAAGTACTATCAATCTAGATGTAATGTTTCAAATAACTATATTTTTGCTATGTAACTACTGTGTAAAAAAATATTGCCATGTATGTAAAATATGTGTAGAATGTACATGTAATTAAAAAAAAGAAAAAGCTGTAAAAAGTAAGTTATTTTTGTCCTCCGAAGAGGGGGGGTGGTGAATGGGCCAATACAAATTCATTTAAAAAATTGTTGTGTATAACAACTTCCCCAAATATATATACAGTGCCTTTGGAAAGTATTCAGACCCCTTGACATTTTTCACATTTTGTTACAGTCTTATTCTAAAATGGATCAAATAAAATAAAATCCTCAGCAATCTACACACAATACCCCATAATGACAAAGCGAAAACAGGTTTTTAGAAATTTGAGCAAATTTTAAAAAAGAAAAAAAGAAAAAAGAAAAACCTTATTTACATAAGTATTCAGCCCCTTTGCTATGAGACTCGAAATTGATCTCAGGTGCACCCTGTTTCCATTGAGTATCCTTGAGATGTTTCTACAACTTGATTGGAGTCCACCTGTGGTAAATTCAATTGATTGGACATGATTTGGAAAGGCACACACCTCTCTATATAAGATCCCACAGTTGACAGTGCATGTCAGAGCAAAAACCAAGCCATGAGGTAGAAGGAATTGTCCGTAGAGCTCCGAGACAGGATTGTGTCGGGGCACAGATCTGGGGAAGGGTACCAAAACATTTCTGCAGCATTGAAGGTCCCCAAGAACACAGTGGCCTCCATCATTCTTAAATGGAAGATGTTTGGATCCACCAAGACTCTTCCTAGAGCTGGCCGCTCGGCCAAACTGAGCAATCGGGGGAGAAGGGCCTTGGTCAGGGAGGTGACCAAGAACCTGATGGTCACTCTGACAGAGCTCTAGAGTTCCTCTGTGGAGATGGGAGAACCTTCCAGAAGGACAACCATCTCTGCAGCACTCCACCAATCAGGCATTTATGGTACAGTGGCCAGACGGAAGTCACTCCTCAGTAAAATACACTTGACAGCCCGCTTGGAGTTTGCCAAAAGGCACCTAAAGACTCTCAGATCATGAGAAACAAGATTCTCTGGTCTGATGGAACCAAGATTTAACTCTTTGGCCTGAATACCAAGCGTCACGTCTGGAGGAAACCTGGCACCATCCCTATGGTGAAGCATGGTGGTGGCAGCAAAGTACAGAGAGAACCTTGATGAAAACCTGCTCCAGACTGGGGCGAAGGTTCACTTTCCAACAGGACCACAACCCTAAGCACACAGCCAAGACAACACAGGAGTGGCTTCGGAACAAGTCTCTGAATGTCCTTGAGTGGCCCTCCCAGAGCCCGGACTTGAACCCGATCGAACATCTCTGAAAATAGTTGTGCAGCAACACTCCCCATCCAACCTGACAGAGCTTGAGAGGATCTGCAGAGAAGAATGGGAGAAACTCCCCAAATACAGGTGTGCCAAGCTTGTAGCGTCATACCCAAGAATACTTGATGCTGTAATCGCTGCCAAAGGTGCTTCAACAAAGTACTGAGTAAAGGGTCTGAATACTTATGTAAATGTGATATTTCTGTTTTTTATATTTGATAAATTAGGAAACATTTCTAAAAACGTGTTTTTGCTTTGTCATTATGGGGTATTGTGTGTAGATTGATGAGGGGGAAAAAACATTTTAATCAATTTTAGAATAAGGCTGTAACTTAACAAAATGCTGAAAAGTCAAGGGGTCTGAATACTTTCCGAAGGCACTGTATATATCGTATTTTTTTCTCTCCAGGGATGTACAACACCCTGAACATTGCGTTGGTTGTACCAGAGAGTGGTCATGTGGTAGCATGTGAAATAGACAACAAATATGTGAACATCGCTAAACCTTTCTTTAAAGAGGTCAGATCAACATTCCACTAGTCATTGCACCATTGATATTCAGCTAGTTTACTTCCTCCATCATTCCTCTAGACAGGAATTAGATCTGTTCGTCCAGTATTCTACCCCAATACAACATGTGAACCCATTCAACCCGTTGGAATTCAGAAACATTGTCTCCCCAGAAGCTTCCATACAGCATATGCTGTATCTAACATCTGTCATTCAGACTTCACAAAGTGCTGTGGGTGGAGTGGTGAGGCTACCAAAGGTGCAAAGCCAAGCAGCAGAGAATCCCTCTCTCCACAATGAACTTAATGCTCCCATCCAAACCCCAACAGTAGAAATGCTACTGGACACAACGCAGGTCAACCATTGGGACAAAGAAATGCTTGGTATTGTCTGCTTCAAACGATCTAAACTCTAACCAAATCCACATTTTATTTTAAGCACATTGAAACTGCTCAATGGACTTCACGGTAAAGAAAGTTAAACAATGAAAGACATGCAACTAATCACCCTTGTCATCCTCTCTCTTTTCTAGGCAGGAGTCGAGGATAAAATTAATGTTGGTCTTCAAACGTTTATAAAAACACTGGGTAGGTGACTTTAAAGAACCCAAACACGATTCCATTATGAAATGGGTTAATCCTTTTCAATGTGATCTTTTTTTGTCCTATATGAGCTTATAGCTGCTGGGGAAGCAGGCACCTATGACTTTGTGTTCATCAATGCGGATAAACGGAACTATGACAGTTATTACAAGAAGTCTCTTGAGCTTGTGAGACAAGGGGGGCATCATTGCCATTGATAATGTGAGTAGACTATACCAAAACCTTTATTCCTACTAGAGAGTTGTGTTTTCGAATATGATTGGAATAATGCCAGCATGCAATCGATTTGATCTAGTGAGCTAAGTGAGGTAAAGATGCATGAAATGATAGGCCTACATAGAAAAGATGGCAACCTCCGTGTCTTTCTCCTCACTCCACTTACCTGTCTATCTGATCACCCTTCCTTCACCTGTCACCTGTCAGAAAGAAGTCTCAAAATGGTTGCACTCACTACTGTAAGTCGCTCTGGATAAGAGCGTCTGCTAAATGACTCAAATGTAAATGTGAAATGTATCTGACTAACTAATTATCTTACCTGTCTATCTGATCACCCTTCCTTGGCCTGTCTATCTGACACAGCCAGGTCACCCGTGATACAAGTCACTATTCGACGTCCATCCATGTGACGTCCATCCATGTCTAAGGACGTCGGGAGATTTTTTTTATTTTATTCTTTATTTCACCTTTATTTAACCAGGTAGGCCAGTTGAGAACAAGTTCTCATTTACAACTGCGACCTGGCCAAGATAAAGCAAAGCAGTGCGATAAAAACAACAACACAGAGTTACACATGGGATAAACAAAACATACAGTCAATAACACAATAGAAAATCTATATACAGTGATGACGTGGAAACTGGCCACTAGGGGCAACAGTGAGCACTGTTACCTTCAAGTAGGTTTCGATTTTGCTAGGGAGCTGGGGATGGCGGATGGGCGTAAAGGCGTCTGCATGCTTCCCAGCTGAAACAGTTCGGAAGAGTTTGTGCATATACACTACATGACCAAAAGTATGTGGACACCTGCTCGTCAAATATCTCATTCCAAAATCATACATTTACATTTTAGTCATTTAGCAGACGCTCTTATCCAGAGTGACTTACAGGAGCAATTAGGGTTAAGTGCATTGCTCAAGGGCACATCGACGGATTTTTCACCTAGTCGGCATGGGGATTAGAACCAGCGACCTTTCAGTTACTGGCACAACGCTCTTAACCACTAAGCTACCTGCCACCCCAAGCTAATGCCATCATAGGCATTAATATGGAGTTGGTCCCCCTTTGAGGCTATAACAGCCTCCACTCTTCAGGGAAGGCTTTCCACTAGATGTTGGAACATTGCTGCGGGGACTTGCTTCCATTCAGCCACGAGAGGTCGGGCACTGGTGTTGGGCGATTAGGCCTGGATCGCAATCAGCGTTCTAAATTCATCTCAAAGGTGTGCGATGGGGTTGAGGTCAGGGCCAGTCAAGTTCTTCCACACCGATCTCGACAAACCACTTCTGTATGGACCTCGCTTTGTGCACAGGGGGCATTGTCATGCTGAAACAGGAAAGGGCCTTCCCCAAACTGTTGCCACAAAGTTGGAAGCACAGAATAGTCTGTCTAGAATGTCACTATATGCTGTAGCGTTAAGATTTCCCTTCACTGGAACTAAGGGGCCTAGCCCGAACCATGAAACAGCCCCAAACCATTATTCCTCATCCACCAAACTTTACAGTTGGCACTATGCATTCGGGCAGGTAGCGTTCACCTGGAATCTGCCAAACCCAGATTCGTCTGTCGGACACTCCAGAGAACGCCATTCCACTGCTCCAGAGTCCAATGGCGGCGAGCTTTACGCCACTCCAGCCAACACTTGGCATTGCGCATGGTTATCTTAGGCTTGTGTGCAGCTGCTCTGCAATTACAACCCATTTCATGAAGCTCCCAACAAACAGTTATTGTGTTGACATTGCTTCCAGAGGCAGTTTGGAACTCGTAGTGAGTGTTGATTTTTACATGCTATGCGCTTCAGCACTCAGCGGTCCCGTTCTGTGAGTTTGTGTGGCCTACCACTTCGCAGCTAAGCCGTTGTTGCTCCTAGACGTTTCCACTTCACAGGGCAGCTCTAGCAGGGTAGAAATCTGTCATTAATTTTGAAGTTCTTTGCCGAGGAGATCTTAGTCGGGCAATTTTACACCTAACTAAGATGTTTGGTGCAGTATTTCTCAATAGAAAAATTTGCATGAAAACGAGTCCTCTTGTTGAATGACAACAAAGACTTTACTGAAGAATCCCTACTGTTGACCAATCACCAACGAAGGAGCGTATACTTCGGCTACCGATTTCGGCTTGCCTCAAGAAAACAAATTGTGTGCCCGAACAACCGGAAGAAAAAAAACGTACCGAAGTCCAAAATGAACAAAAACGTCACAAAATGTCATCATGCAGGAATTCTTCCAAACCGTTTTGCATCTGCCAGACGTACAGTGGGGAAAAATAGTATTTAGTCAGCCACCAATTATGCAAGTTCTCTCACTTAAAAAGATGAGAGAGGCCTGTAATTTTCATCATAGGTACACGTCAACTATGACAGACAAATTGAGGGGAAAAAATCCAGAAAATCACATTGTAGGATTTTTTATGAATATATTTGCAAATTATGGTGGAAAATAAGTATTTGGTCACCTACAAACAAGCAAGATTTCTGGCTCTCACAGACCTGTATCTTCTTCTTTAAGAGGCTCCTCTGTCGTCTGAAGTTTGCTAGAGTGCATTTGGATGATCCAGAAGAGGATTGGGAGAATGTCACATGGTCAGATGAAACCAAAATAGAACTTTTTGGTAAAAACTCAACTCGTCGTGTTTGGAGGACAAAGAATGCTGAGTTGCATCCAAAGAACACCATACCTACTGTGAAGCATGGGGGTGGAAACATCATGCTTTGGGGCTGTTTTTCTGCAAAGGGACCAGGACGACTGATCTGTGTAAAGGAAAGAATGAATGGGGCCATGTATCGTGAGATACCTTCCATCAGCAAGGGCATTGAAGATGAAACGTGGCTGGGTCTTTCAGCATGACAATGATCCCAAACACACCGCCGGGCAACGAAGGAGTGGCTTCGTAAGAAGCATTTCAAGGTCCTGGAGTGGCCTAGCCAGTCTCCAGATCTCAACCCCATAGAAAATCTTTGGAGGGAGTTGAAAGTCTGTGTTGCCCAGCGACAGCCCCAAAACATCACTGCTCTAGAGGAGATCTGCATGGAGGAATGGGCCAAAATACCAGCAACAGTGTGTGAAAACCTTGTGAAGACTTATAGAAAACTTTGACCTGTGTCATTGCCAACAAAGGGTATATAACAAAGTATTGAGAAACTTTTGTTATTGACCAAATACTTATTTTCCACCATAATTTGCAAATAAATTCATTAAAAATCCTACAATGTGATTTTCTGGATTTTTTTTCCTCATTTTGTCTGTCATAGTTGACGTGTACCTATGATGAAAATTACAGGCCTCTCTCATCTTTTTAAGTGGGAGAACTTGCACAATTGGTGGCTGACTAAATACTTTTTTTCCCCACTGTATATATCCTTAACGGAAATTTTGGTGACCTTATTTGACCTTTTCTGCTGCTTTTGAGACACAGTTCGATCCCACTTTGGGGCACTACTTGTTGAGTAATTAAAACACTAAACAATCACAATACAGTAACTATTGGTCCCTCTATGTATTATTATTCTAATACGTATTAATTATAGAATTTTGTCAGTTATTAATGATCAACCTTTAAACTGCACTCTTCCTCCCCTCTCTCCATGTTTCAGCTCCAGATGACAAAACCTGCACACTCCGAGGGTTGCAGGTCTGCCTACTTCCTTTTGGTCACACATTCTATTCTGAGAAATATCCAATAAACCAAAGACATTGCTTTAACTGTGAATGTACTTTATTGCAGACATTTTCCTCAAATAAAGTGGAGCAAACATAAAATAAACAAGTTATTACAATTTATTTACATTGGTTCTAATGTGGGTGTGTGAGTGTGAGATTCATATTTTGTAAAAAGACAAAAGCACACAGAATTTCCCCAAAACCTATACACATATCAAATTAAATGGAGCATACATAAAATAAACAAATAATTACAATTTATTTACATATTCGCATGCTATTGTGTGTATGTGTGTGCATGTTGTATTTTATTTTTCCTTGTCAGCCACCATCTCTCCTAACCATGCTCCCACCACCAACTGTGAGTAAGCACAACTGCATGTCTGTTGTGGGAAATAGATAACACAATCTGTAGGCCTAAATATCTCCAATCCAAAAATAAAATGGAGCATACATATACAATAAACAAGTAATTACAATGTATTTACATACTAATATGTGCGAGAGAGAGACTGTGTGTGTATGTTTGATTTCTTTCTTGTTAGCCATCCATCACTGCTTTTCTGCTTCATAAAAAGCTGAGGTCTGGAACTCCCTCCAGGTCATCTCTCTCTCTAGTCCATGGCCTTGGTTGCCTGATGACTCACCCTGAATTTGAATCGCTACATACATTCATTGTGGAGAACAAACGTCAGTTTGGCCTGAGCGATGTGGATGGGTAGCCAGGGAATGGCCTTGGTACATTAAAAATAATTTTGCTGGACAATAAACATTGTTGTACTCCTGGGAACCCTGTACATATGTGAGGGCTGTTGGGGCCCTGTTTCAGCACCAGATGACAAAACCTGCACACTCCCAGAGGGTTGCAGGTCTGACGACTTCCTTTTGGTCATTCATTTTAATCTGAGAAATATCCAATAAACCAAAATGCTTTAACTGTGAATGTACTTTATTGCGCACAATCCTCAAATAAAATGGAGCATACATAAAATAAACAAGTAATTACAATTGATTTACATTGGGGATAATGTGTGTGTGTGACAGAGAGAGAGAATGTGTGTGCATGTTGTGTTTTATTTTTCCTTGTCAGCCACCCATCTCTGCTTTGTCAGTCTTGATAGGCCCAGTGTATGCACTTCTGGTTGAGGCTGTCGGGCAGTGGTGGAGTAAGTGACAGTAATTATACAGTTCAACAACGTGTGTGTGTGCACATCTGTTGGTGTGAGTGAGCGTATGTGTATGTAATATAATTCTGAATTACATGTATCCATCTGGGAATCCTCAAAAGTT